GAAGACCGTAAAGCGGCTTTTATATGTGCTTCGCACTTTCAGGGTCGGGTCATATGGCTCAAGGGAACCCCCAGGATGAAATTTAAATTTGATTTATCGTTTGATAGAGGTATCTTAACAGCGCTCAGTTGAAAAGGCAGCAATTATGGCATGACAGCTCTTCGCACAACAGTTGGCTATAGGTTTCATTCAGGTGATAACTTTAACTGGGCTGATTCAAAATGCTGTGGAATCGGTGACGTATGCTACAGAGCTGTTAAAGCCTTATATTGCAGGGTCAGCAAGTGAGCTTCGTCTATTGAGAGAGGCAGTGAAGAATTCGGTTATTCAAGCAGGCGTGCAGAAATTCATTGATAGGCAGGTTTTTGTCATTTTTTGTTCTTTTTTTGACTATGTTGGCAAGGCCCATTGTTTCGAAAGCGTAAGGTGCAATGTTTTAACCGCCTGTTAGTGTAGAGCAGAAAGAATAAGAAAATCCAGTTATCTACTGAAATCAAAGCTCACTGTGCGGAAGTTTTCTTCTTTTTGATCAAGCTTGTTTCTAGGAAGGACATACTGCGCTCGAAAATCCAACGTGCTGGTGTTGACACTACTCCCGAAGATCTTCAGGCGTGGAAGGATGAAGTGGAATTACTAGACAGAAAAATTAAACATGCACGTGAGGGACAGGTGGATTCGGCGCAGGTCGACCTAGTGGACTATTCATGTGTGGATTGGCTAAAAATCTCAACGGTTGAGGTAGGACTTGTCTGCTTTATCATTTTAATCTTTTGACAGCCGCATGATTATTACGGTTCGATTGCCGGCCCTAGGTGGTGGCTGTTGTACTCTTAACTCTTGCCCAGTTCTTCAGTTCTTGTTCGCCTTACAGTGACGGGGTCGGCTCACTGGTCGCGTTTCTAAGGAATAAGAGCGTTGATATACAGCTCAGTTAAACAATTAAGTACAGGCAGGCTCATAAAGACTTGTCCCGGCTGGTCGGCATCGCTTAAGCAAAGTGTTCCCTTCCGCAGCATTGTCCTGTCCCGGTCTTGATCTCGCACCACAGAGCACACGCATACTTTCGCTCTTTGGCTTACCCTCATTCTTATACGGCCCTACTTTTATATAAGACAGTGATGACAGCCCATGAGAGAAGCATATTCTGAAGAAAACCGTTATTCTAAAGCATTATTGCGAAAGCATAGCTGGGGTAGCTTATGTGCGGCGGATTACTGACCTATTCAGTAATTATATGCAGAGGAAAAGAATAAAGCTTCTGAGCGCCATTAGTTTAGTGACGTCTTTAGCATTTGGAGTGGTTTATTCGAATCGAGTTTTCACACCTTCCTTCGGTAGCAAATTACTTGCAACGGTCTGTTTGGGGTCTTATAAAATAAAAAAATGTTCTGTGTTCAGTTCAAAGGGACACGCTCCGCGGCCACGCTTCGTTATAAGTGGTTAAATGAACAGTGCCCCCGATGGAACAGCGGTCCATGGACAAAGGAGGAACTGGGAAAGCTAAAGGAGCTCAGAGAAGATGTGAGTTTCATATGATGTATCTTGGGATTTATATACTAGGCTGCTCTTTAAAGGTATCACATGGTGTTTAAGAGTCTTATAATGGGCTGTTTCCCTATGAATAACAGCACGCATAAAGACAATTATTTAATTTTTGTTGACGGTCGAAAATGAAGGTAAAGGGTCTAAGTGATGCAGCAGTGAGCAAGAATCCAAGAAAATGGTGAAAAACCTGCGAAAGGACTACTTTCGGCTCTCTCACTGAACGCGATTCTGCGTTGAGTAGTGCTGTAGAAGGTGAACGCCTCCCCGAAGCGAGCGCAGGTCCAAGAAAGGAGCAGGAACCCGACTGATAAAGGCTTGCGGTTGCGGCAGCCTGGAGGCGTGCAGAAACAAAGGTGTAGCGGAATGCGTGAGCCCTCATTAGGTCTCTCAGGAACGCCGTTTTGCGTGAAACACGCTACATATGTATCATTTGTTCAGCTTTATTGCACTCTTTTTATAATGGGCACTTTACACCTCCTTGAACGCCTACTAGCACCTATTAGTATTACTGCTTTTGCTTTGGTAACAAAAATGAAAGGGAAATTAGTTATATTATCAGTGTTATGCAGAAAATACAGAGCTCATGACGTAGTAATTTAGTAGGAACGGTGCGCTTAAAAAATTTCACGGAACTCATCTTCAGCCATCATTCACATCATGGGCTGTTGTTGCCAAGAAATTACAAACACAGCGATCTCCTTATCAATGTTTCGAAAGGTACAGAAGCGACATGTATCGAGCGGCAAAGTGAGTATGGTATCAATTTTTGTCGCTATGAAATTATGTTGGTGCCTGGAAGAAGGGCAATTCTGTTTAGGGATTGGACCAAGGAAGAAGATGACCGTCTCATTGCTTTGGTGAAAGTGATGACCGTCAATGGAGTAGTTCAGTGGGACAAAGGTTGGATAACACGAATGACTAACTATGTAAAAAATCTGTTTGAAACGGTATGCCTGTCAATTCAGTGACCTTTTATATGCCTGGACGCCACCGTCAGCAAGTTCGGACGAGATATCTGCGCACATTGGATGAGAATGTCCGTCACGGACGTTGGACAGATCACGAAGATCTGGTTGGTTGAGTGAAGCCTTCTAAAAATTTCAATAGTCGATCTCGACAAAGGCTAAGATAATCCCCTTTATTTGCATTTCACCTCTTCTCTCTTTCCTATTATTTGTATTTCCTGACGCTTTTGTTGTTCCTGGAGTTGAAATTCGCCATTCAAAATAGTTCACGTCTTCGTTCTCGAAAGATTTGGTGACTGTAGCTGAAGAAAAAACTCGCGTTGGGAAGCCCATATAAGGGCTTGGATATGTGCCAACTCGTGGGATCCGGATTTCGTGGGTTCCACCCATATG